TGATCATTTCCTTTTTAATTTTTTTTTTAAAAAAAGTTCAGATGAAATAATTAGAATCTAAAAAGGAAAATAAAAAAAACTGTCTGCCTTTATAAGAAGAAAATTCAATCCTACAGATTGGACTACATGCAAATGAATTTTTATCCCCTGACATTTGACTCAGGTTGGACAATTACGTCCATTATTTCTTTTATGTTTATATGCCCACAAGATGGATTGTCTTAAAAGCATATTCAAAGCTATTCTGAATCTAAAACACGCATGTTTATCAGAATAAATTTATGATTCAATCATATTTATCTTCTGTAATTTTGCATTTCAGCAAATAAAAGCTACACTCTAAAAGTGTAAAATCCCTGTTACCAATTTGCTTGGGTAATTATTTAAAAAACTATTTAGTCTAGAAATAAGCAGTTAGGTTCTAACATTGGCTCTCAGAGGCTTATATTCATATCCTCAATTATTAGCTTGGCAAAAGGATGGACTTGGCTGCTTCAATTCACAGTTGTTGATTTGTAAGGAAGATCTGGATTAAAAATACATTTAAAAGCTGTTACCAAGATTCTTTTGGGAACTTGTAATCTTTATTTCAGTTAAACAGAGTTATTGTTTAAACTGCATAGAACTGTTTCCATGGCACAGCAAAGTGATGCCAGATTTTCTTCTTTTTCTTAGTCCCGGTGCAACAAACAGCAACTGATGTTGACATTTTTAAATTGAGTGCCTAGCACAAATATGTAGCTTCTACTCTTTTTTTATCCCTCCCAGCAGATCCCTAGGTAAATAGAAAACATTGCTTAAAATCAATGCCAACTCAAATTCATATCCTTTAATTGTGCAAATATAGCTAAGAAAGAAAAGTTGTCCTTGCTAAAATATTGATTTTTCATTATGAAATTGTGTTTCTGCTTACACATGGTTATGAACAAAACTAAAGTGGTTGTTACATATTTTTAAAATACAGCTTTTCTTGTTTGTTGCAGAAAACACAAGTATTAGTTACCAAAATATTTATTATGACATGAACTTTATCACATTACAGCCCATTTCATTAAGATGTTTGGATATTTCTTTACAGCTATGGGGGAGTTGTGGTAGTTTATAGATTGCAAAGTTAATGTCTACAAGTATCTTTACAATGGGGACGATAAACATAAATGCTCATGTTTTGTGAATTTGTGACACTAAAGAAATATGTTTTCTTCCACTCATTTGAAAAACTTGCAAAACATGTATTGAGAGATAACCTATTTTCCCTTAGCATAATATACATTATTTGGAGGTGATACATTGTCTATTTCAGTCCGTGGAAGGCCAATTTACAGGCTTAGGACATGTGGATGGAACTTCTGATTACTCTTGTAAAAATCTGCCTGCAATGAAACCAGGCATAATATATGTTGCGTGATGATAACGCTCTTGTGCTGGAGTATCATCAAGCAGAACAAAACTTCTCACTCGTTTCTGCATTCTTTCAGCTGATTTGTATGTTCATAAAGGAAGTCCTCAAACTGGAATTCTTCACAAAGAATTTTTGAACAAGACTTCTGAAAACAATAGCTTTCCACAAAAGATACAATAGGGATAATTTAAACATATGTTTATAGAAGATATAATTATAGACTAGGTCTAGCAGATTTAAGGAAACTGAATAAATTAATTTACATAAGGGCAATGCATTCTCATAATACCTTATTGAACAGTTATTTTAAAATGCTATGCATATTAATGTTTCCTATAAAAATATTGTAAATTATAAACAGCTTAATAGATGTCATTTGTATTTTGGTTATGTGGTAACCTATATTAACAGTTACTTGCAAAGTTTTTGGAAAAAATACAGGGCTCTAGGTATTAAATTTCAATATGTGGTGCAAACAGTGAAAACATGAGATGCTAATGAGTAAAATTTAATGTTGAAACCAGGGAAGGGTACTGTTGATGGGAATCGTAATCTTTATATGCATAAATATCCTGACATTTTTCAAGGTGTGCTACTTGGTTCTGCAATTTATGAAGCATCCAAAGTAATGACCAACAGAATTATGTTGAATCTAGGTAAATTTTGGTACTGTAATTTGGGAACTGGCTTGCTTTGTTCTAGCTCAGTTGAAGCAGATGGTCGGATTTCGCTGGAAAGTGGAGAATTGCCCTGAACTATGGTCAGGAGTGAGAGGACTCAGAGAAACCGTCTGGTCAGATCCACTGAGTCGAATAAACTGGGGGCGATGGAGGCCCGAGGAGGCGTGGCCAAAACAATTCGACTCAGTGACTGGCCAGACCAACTGGATCATCCCACTCCTGACCCACTCCGCAGCCTTCTGGAAGAAAGCTGTATTCCTATTTTAGAGGTTCCCAATTTATTGACGTTAAGCCAGCCTTCTCATGAGAAACCCAGGAGTTTCTTCAGTAAGATAAATACTGTAACTTCAATCCACCCTATTCAGAAGTTTTTTATAACTATCGATCCTCTGGTAATGCTGTTTTTTTTATGTCTGCAATGTTGTTGAACCATGTTGAAGGCAACTGACCGACTTCAAGTGAAATTGAATACTGAGTTTACTGATTGATGAATATCTAAGAGCCGAGGTGACGCAGTGGTTAGAATGCAGCACTGCAGGCCACTTCAGCTTACTGCTTGCTGCAGTTCAGCAGTTCAAATCTCACCGACTCAAGGTTGACTCATCCTTCCAAGATCGGTAAAATAAGGACCCAGATTGTTGGGGGCAATATACTAGCTCTGTAAACCACTTAGAGAGGGCTGTAAAAGCACTGTGAAGTGGTATATAAGTCTATGCTATTACTATCTATATACCACTAACATTTGTCATTCCTTTACCTGGCCAAAATGGTGCATCACAGGGCAACAATTTTTGAACTAAGGTACCTAGTTCAATACCTTGGTTATTCTACCAGTAATAAAACACCAGGGCAGCTTGCAGAAAAGATCCACAAAAGATGGCAAAATAGCTTGCATAATATTACAATATTTTTAGGAATTAAACTAGAGGAAACTTAGAAAAATGTGGCATTTTTAATGCGCACAGACTCTTCTAAATACAATAATGAGCTTATAATAGATATATCAAAGCCAGACCTGCAACATAATGGGTAAAGAACATTGTATTGCAAATAATTTCTAATATATCTTGATCCCATCTATCACAATAGATAAAACATTGGAAGTAATTCATGCTAGATCACAGCAATTACTTCATAATGAGGCAGCTGTTGGACTTGGACACAAGTGTGTTGATTCAGAAGATGGACATCAATCCCAGCTTTGGTGTTGACAATACATAATCACCATGAGCTTTGTAATGGCAAAGGTAATTTGATCCACAAAGCCAAAGATTCTTTATAGAATCTGTGACCACCTGCAAATTTCCCTAATGTGAGGAAAGGGCCTTCATAAAGCAACTTTTCATTGCTGCATTACAACCCATGCATGGATCGATACATCTCTATAGAATGTTCTCCTTTATTGATAGAGAAATTAATTGGAGGAATTTTTTGAGTTTAATGCATCAGATGATCCTGTAAGATGAGACAAAATAGCCAATCAGACATCATTTTGGTAAATTGATTTTTCTAGGAGTTACAACCTCAGAATTACACGCCTTAGTTCTGGTTTTGATCTTTCCAAATCATACTTGATTTTAATCAATTAAAAAATGCTACTAGAAGAGTGTAATGCCAGAAAGCAATTCATGGCTCTGCCCACAGGAATCAGCTCCGAAGGGCATAGATTCACTCACGTGCACTTCAGAGCTGATGCTTGTGGGCATAGATTCACGAGTTTTCTACCTATAAGAAATATTGAGTATCATATATTGATTCATTCAACTTGTGACTGTTTTGGTAGGGAAAGTCTACTGGTTGTAAAATTCCATTGGGTACTGAATTAGGCTTTGGGTAAAAGCTTTTGGGGGGGGCTTTGGACAATTCAGAGGTTGGTTGCCCAATCCAAGGCAAGAAGTTTAGCTCTCATTAATTAGCTTGCAAAGCTCCAAAATGGTCAATCTTGGGGGCATACTCATTTGAATGAACATTAAAGCACCTGTGGAGGGATGAAACATACCTAACGGAAGAGAAATGCAAGTTTTAGAACCTTCTTTGAAAAAGTTCCAGTAACTTAAAAAGAAAATCACAATCAGACAGTCTGTCAAATTAGAGATGGGTTCAGGCAGTTTTGTATGAAGGAAATTCTTATGGTAAAGTTTTGTTTTGTTAAAAAAAAAAAGGTTATCATACCAATAGAAAGTGAACTATTGGCTCGTTACTGCTTATCGGCTTAAAACAAAATGACAATTTTCATTAGGACAAAACCAACAGAATATTTTAACATGCTACAAGAAAGAAAGTGATATCCTTTAACACTTGCTTCAAGGGCACAATTCAAGCAAATATTTTGAGCAGTTTCTATAAACATCATTCAGCTAAAGTTCATCAATGGTTCAAGTTTGTCCTAAGGGAGACAGTGATCCCCCTAAAGCCCTTTGGAAAGAACTAGCTCATCTCAATGGGCACTCCTCACCATCCTTGCCTAAGACCCTGGGCAATTTATTTCTCCAAAGGAGTCAACAGTGTGATTGTTTGATTAGACTCTCCATCCCCCACAAAACACCTTTTACAGAACTCTTCCAACATTGGCATTAATCCTGCAATTAGTAAATGGACTTGTCAATCACAGTTGAATCCATGCCTCTCCCACTCCCTTATTTTTATGGAAGAAAGTAGTTGATATTTGCAGACACAGCGTCTGGCTGTCTGCAGCACCCCAAACCATTACATTATTCATGAAGCTTCACTGTTCACTTAATTACTCTATGGGGCTTTAGTCTCGTCTCGATAAGCTGTTGCTTTGGTTTCAGGCACCGCATTTTCCTCTCAAAATTTGGAGAGTGGTTGGATTTGATTGGAACACACCTTTAGTTTACATTACTAGTCGTCAACTATTATATACTGGCAACCAGCAGGGGTCAGTAATGGCACAAACATTCCACAGCATGATATGTAACTTTATTATTCTATCATAATTTAAAGTATACACTGCACGGTCACTTTTCTTTTTCACACAAACATATACTTAATAGTATAGCCATGAAGCACATCTAAAACGGTTTGCAAAATATCGGGCATACTGTGGGTTTTGTTTTGTATTCTTTTTCTCAAGCGTAAGTCTGAAGTTTTCTAAAAGAAACAGTCAGTTGGAGTATCTGTGAAAACCAGTGTTCCCTCTAAGTATATGTTTTCTCCCAGAGACCACTCACTAGCTTCAAACTATCCATATGTTTGGCATTAACTAAAGTTCTTTTGGCTATGGTGGACTTTTAAGAACCAACATGTGCGAATAACATTTTCGTAAGAAATCGCACAGGACAAGAAGCAAAAAGCATTCCAAATGCCAACGTTTCCAAAATAGGATTCCTCTCTGGATTTCAGTTTAGAGTTATTCGTTGTGCATTTTTGTCAGCACATGCATGTATGCACATCTTGGGAATGCAGAAAATTAGCATATACCTGTTGTTTACAATGGGCTTACATTGTAGCTACAACTCTAGACTTGTCTAACCAGACTTCTTCCACAAATACCTTTTCACTTGGCACATAAAAATATGAAAAAAATCAACTATTCTAAGACCATCATGTCTGTCTCCATACAAGACTGGAAAGGGTACAGGGGGAGAAATACAGTAAGGTTGGTTTCATATTCTATGTTGCCTTATTGCCTTAACAACTGACCAAAGGCAGAATTTTAAACATTTTGTAGCTGCAAAAACTAAGTCATGTACTTCAGCCACAAAAACTGAACCTCAAGTTCATCCGAACACTTTTGACATCAGGCACATTTTGAATATACAAACTAGCAAGCAATTTTGCTTGTATTTGGTGACTTTAAGTAAAAGCTTATACAATTATGGTGCTGTCACTTTAAAGCAGACAGGGAGGATTTACTCAAGCTCAACAAGAATTTGCATGTCATAAATCCAAGCCAAGCAAGCTAGAAGTACGATATGTGTATAACTAGGATACAATTCCAATCAGTATTACAAACCAATTTTTTCCACTTCAATGAAAGTTACTGAGCACATGGAAGGACAATGCAACTAAATCCAGGGACAGGATAATGGTGGCACCTTCAATCTTTGACATTTCCAGTCTCAAATGCTGGTTAAACATAGCAACCCATTCCTAGATCAACCACTAAAGTCCAAAGGAGCATGTACCATTTCACAGTCCAAGGAACCACCATGCCTTCCCAACACAATGCCTGGTTTTGCTAATTGCTCTTCATTAAGCGTAGCTAAAGCTGATTGTTTTTAGTAACCAGAAACTCTAGCAATCCTTAAATCACATTTAACCTGAAATGGTCTGAAGCAGGCTTGTTGTCAGCCTAGTTGCTAGCATGGTAAATGATATTCTGCTAATAAGAGAGTAAAAAAATGATTGTTCAGCTGGCAGTGAATGTTTTATATAGATTTCTCTGTGCCTAGCGTATATTTTAAGGACCTAAGTGCAACAATTCTAGCAAGCGCTGGAAGGAGCTATGTTGAAATAAAATACTGTAAGTATGGAACACTTACACAGTCTCCTCAGTTACACAGAAGAAGAAGAAAAACCCAAAATGGCATTTGGGCACCCAAAAGTTTTAATTGTGTCATTAATTTCTTATTGGCTGCAGCTTGTATCACAGATGCATCATATAATAGAGTAGATTGTAGTCCATCAAAACTGATGTTACAATAAATCTGCCAGTCTTTTACACATCTAAAATAATGTTTATATGCATCTTTGTACTTAGACCAATGCACAAAGTCTTGCAGTTGAGCAACTTGCTAAAATTGACAAAGGAATGATAATTAAGTAGTTAACCTCCTGAGCAATATCCATTTTCTTAATTTTCTACCTTTCTTTTCAGACAATTCAAAAATTATATTCGTTACCAATTTTTATGGGTTTTGCTGTTGTTGCAAAAATGTTTAGGAGTAAAATTAAGCAAGTAAGGCCTACCACTATCTTAGGGTACAACATTTAATACAAACCACTTGAAGACATCCATATAGATATGAAAGAGATTTGAGTCCTAGCCCACCCCAAAAAGTTTTGGAAAGTCTTTAGGCCTCATTCATAGACATCTGGAAGGAAAAGAGACACAGCTTTCTGTGTGTGTCCTTTGCGAAATTCGTAGAAAACTTGTATTTTGTACTTGTATATTAGAAGCCAAGTACAATTTTTAATCCTAAAAAGCAATTCTTGGAAGGAAGCAGAGATTTGCTGCATCAGCAAACAATAAGATGCAGTTTTGAATGCACTAATTCTGAGGGCTGATGGCCAATAATTGCTGCATTCCTATGAAATGGAGGCTACTGGCCCAGGGTCCAATGTAAATCCTAGGCTTGTCTTAGACCTAGGTCTACATTATCTACCTAGCTAGATTCTTGTGTTGCCGTAACTGGCTAAAGGAATGGCAAAAAAAAGAAAGAAAAGAAATCAAATAAAATGTATAAGTGTATGAATTAAGCTAGGCAATACTTAGAGGGCATACTGGTTATGATATATGTACAGATGGATATATGCTTTACATATTACCTAGATACACATAAATAGTTAATATATAAAAAATAAAGTGCTTTCTATTAGGTCCTGATGAGAGGACATTATAAAATGTTTCACCAACTGCAAAGCAAAAAAATATTACAATCAAAAGAATATTACATCCAACATACATAAGAAAAAGGATAACACAATTATATACACTCCTCTGGATGTCCCAGGACAAAAAAGCATCCCTTCATATACACGGTATATACATATATGTTCTTAATATATTATGACAATATATATTTTAAAACTTTGTTCTCTACAACAACCACCAAAGAGGGGAGGATCCTACAAAAACACAAGAAGCAGAAAGCCTACAAGTCCAAGTCCAAGTCCAAATTCTCCCCCCTGAACACTGCCCTCATTGTTGGGGAAGATGTGCCATCTCTCCTTCCTCGGATGCAGCGCCTCAACATCCTGCAAGGCACTGTGTGCAGCAGCTGTGAAATTGGCATCACCGGTGGTGAGTAAATCAAACACACAAGAATGAAAATAGATGTCCTTCAGCAGCATCTTCTCATGGCACTTGGTGGTTGCACTCTCCAGTGTATATATGGAACGGGTGTGACTTGAAGCACCAGAAGGAAGGAGCTGCCCTACCACTGGTAAAGGAAGATGCCCGTTGTCATCAATGCGTTCACTGGAAGGGCAGCCGTTCACACAGAGCTGCAGGTCCTGGCTCTCCTCATAAGCCAGAGCTAGCTCTTCTGGCATGCGAATGGATAGTGTTAAGTAACGGCCAAGCTGGCGCACAAACACGGTAGTTCCAATGTACCTAGCATGCATTTCCACATATTTGCCACTCACTCTTTCCACAATACGCAAGCTTTTGGGGTCCCCATCTCCACCACTAGTTGTGCCATCTACAAAAGCTGCTGGCAAATCATCGGTTACTGCCTGATACACCTTCTGGTCTGTACAGTCTTGGTAAGATTTAAAGATAATGGTAATCTGTGGGGAAAACAAAAGAAACAAGAGAGTTAGAATGGGACACATGACAGTTCATCGATATGTATCATGGAATATATAAATTCCAACAGACTAAACTGAGCTGCGGTGGCACAGTGGTTAGAATGCAGTACTGCAGGCTACTTCTGCTGACTGCTAGCTAACTGCAATTTGGCAATTCAAATCTCCCCAGGCTCAAGGTTGACTCAGCCTTCCATCCTTCCGAGGTTGGTAAAATGAGGACCCAGATTGTTGGGGGTAATAGGCTAACTCTGTAAACCGCTTAGAGAGGGCTGGAAAGCACTGTGAAGCGGTATATAAATCTAATGCTATTGCTATTAAGAAGTCCTAAAGAGGAGCATCTATTGTTAAAAATAGAGCAATGTAATTATACAAATTTCAGGAACAGGTTTGTCAATTCACACAGTGTGCAACATTTCCAAATCATTATTGCACAACTACTTTATCCTCAAAGTTACAAGAAGACCAACATGCCGCTATTTAAAACAGCTAAACCTCTTAGGGAGAACTTTCCGACTTAAAAAGTAGGGCTCCATAAGAGTAAAAGTAGGAGACAAGATAGTTAATTCTGTGCTGTTGTTTCCAGCCAAATAATGAGGATATTTATTCATTGTGCAAAATCACAAAAGAAGTGTCTTCAATGTACATAATGATAAATTTACTCCATTTCAGAATATATCACATTCGTAAGATCTAATGGAAACAAGTACTCTTATCTTAGTGGATTGCAAACATCTCCTCAGAATTATCCCAAGCCGATGTGACAGAAAAATATGGTATCCATAGTATTATCCATAGTATAAATCATAACTATTATAGTACCAATCACCTGATCAGTGACTTAAGCAACTATATTGGTGAGTTGCTGTCTACGTAATACAGACGTTTTCCAGGCAAATAAACAGGTTATGCAAGTCCTCATAGCTCTCTCATTTGTCACCAAACTTTAGCAGCAAATCTCCTGTACAAAGTCTTCAATTACCATATTTTTCGGAGTATAAGACACACCTTTTCCCCCCCTAAAAAGTGGTGAAAATTTAGGTGTGTCTTATATACCAAATGTAGCCCCACCCACCCACTGACCAGCACCCTTTGGCCTCTGCCTCCCAGCAATTTGCCTCCTTGCATCAAACAGCCTGGTCAGCTTCAGCACAGCCTGATTTACCACAAGCACTGGTTGGTGGTTGGATCTGCCTCCCGGAATACCACCTATCAACTGTTCTAGGCTGCGGGGATTGCACAGCCCATTGCCACCTCCGCTCGCCTTATTTTCAATCTCCAGGAGTCCCATTTTCAGCTTCCACGTGCGCCATTTTCAGGAGGGAAAAACACCTAAGCAAATGTTCTCTACATGTCTACCTTACTGTTTATGAAATCATATATTTTAAAGATTACTTTATTCCCTTCTAAGGTCTCTAGTATTAAACTTCAGAATGCTCCCTTCAGTATTTCTCTCTCTCTCTTCCAGCATTAAGTGTTTTGCTCTAAGATACATGTTTCTTCTACATTGCGTGTTTCTTTAATCAAATGCATCTAAGCTGTTTATAAGTTTATGGAACAAAATAATTCTAACAAAATAACTAGTTTTCATAATCTGTCTCTTATTTTCCACCTATCTTCTCAGGAGCCTTGAGATGGTTCACAAAGAATTGCCCCTTAAAAAAGGGGGGGGGGGAGTGACTGCCCTTCTCAAAGTTGACCAAAGAACTTCCACATAGGTGTTAGAACTTGAACTTTGATCTATTCATATTTGTTCTCTGTCATTTTTAACAGGAGCTGTCAATTAAAGAAGAGTCAAATATTCGTGTTAGGAAGGGCACCACACAATATTCTTATCAGATACTATCAAGAACATTTAGCTTTTACTACATTCAGGATTCTCTCCCTCTTCTGTCTTCGTCATTCTCCTCCTCCTACACCATACTTGTTTTAGCTCCACATATTCACCCTTGTGCCACCAGATTGGAATTTTCCAGCAATTTCTTCAGTCCAAATCACTTACGAGGTTTAGCTATTTTAGCCCAGCTTGTCTTCAGTCTCTCAAATGCATAGCCACAGGCCATCACCAGGACTGTGTGGCTTTGAAAGGAAACATGTGTTTACATTGTCTGGTTCTGAGCAAGGATTGAGTGCTCTCTATTCTACCAGAGAAAACCACAATTTCTTTTTGAATAATGTTAAGAGTCAGCTCACAATGCCCCAGGGAACCATACTTTGGAGAAGATTTCACTAGTTATTGGTTGCATAAGCCATTCTTCTCTTGATTTCTCTCAGGAATGGAAGGGGAGAATCAGGTACTACAATAAAGCTGAGAATGAAATATGCTATACAATAAAACTGAGAATGAGAACATGTTACGAATGAGCAGCTACTTTTTAGTGGCTGAAAAACTCGAGTCTCCAGCAGCATAGACATGGGATCCACTTTGTAATTAAATTAATGCTGCTTAGCAGAAAAAGCTATTAGCCAAAGGAAAATAAGAATCCTGAGCAAGTTTACTCATACCTAAAGTGAGAGATTAATTAGAGCTCTCCTTTCCTTCTGCTGATCCCTTCAGCCTCACCATCTTGCCATAAGACTAATTGCCATAATTCTCCCCATTAACGTCACTTTGAGCTATGTCCTCTTCAATTTCATAGAATGATTGTAGTTTTGTTGACAAAACAGTTGATTCCCATATTTTAACCAATTGCATTTAGAAGTCTGAGATGGAAAATTTAAAGCAAAGCCCCAAAGAGTAAGCATAGCTGCTTCCAATGATGATTTAACATTGGAGGGGCAATCCTGTAGTATTGGGATAAAATTTCAGATTTCCATGTACTACACCAACTCTTGCCCAGGATGGATAAAAATCAATGATTTTTTTAAAAAAATAAAAAAAAATCGGATTTTTTTGATTTAAATCGAATTTATTTTAAATGTAACCTTATTTAGAATTAGAGATGCAAAGTTCTCAGAACTGGAAGTCCATATCCATATCCATATTACTTTGTCTTGCTAGGATTGAGCTTCAATCTGTTTCCCCTATCCATTGCCCTACAACCTCCAAACATTGATTCAAGTCTTTTATGATATATGTTGGTGGTCCACAGGGTGGATAAAAATCAACGATTTTTTTTAAAAAATCAAAAAAATCAGATTTTTAAATCGGATTTTTTTGATTTTTATCGAATTTATTTTGGGGTAAAAATCTATCGTAATATAGTTTTCTATTTAAGATACATAAATAATTTAGTTTATTCAGCATGAAATGGAACTTAGTTACGTAGCATGAGGCTGTATATTCTGCAACACTGGGACTATCGGTGAGTCAACAGTGGGTCAAAGGAGTAGCAGAGATGACAGTTGCTCTTTAAAAATTATGATTTAAATCGAGTTGATTTAAATCAAGCCTTTTTACTAGTGATTTAAATTGTGATTTAAATCAACTCGATTTAAATCAAATCCACCCTGCTCTTGCCACATCAAATGGCAGGTTCCCTAGCCCTGGCATCCAGCAGAAAACTTAGCAATGTAATTCCCTTTGCTAGGACAAGCTTTGGAATATGATCCATGTTTTGAGGGCAGTGGGGAAAGCCATCCATAAAACTCACTTCCCTTACTATGTGTATGTTATGAGTTTCTGAGAGAAGACATGATCATGGTCTCTCCACATGGTATCCCTTTGATTTTATTTATTTTTTTTTAGATCAGAGAACTATTGTCCTCTGAAGGGCCCATGAACTACAGGAAAAAAATGAGAGAGAACCAGAACAATTGTGTGCTGAATATGTGGGATCATATCTTCTGTCAGAAAGATCATGATCTGATCTCTTTTGAATTCTCTTATTACCATGTTGCAAAGATATGAATGTCCAAAATAAGGCCTACGTAAGACAGCCAACTACCTTGGTGCTATAGAATTCTAGGACCCATGCCAAATAGTGTTTGCCTTCTGCTTGCCGCAAATGCAGCTGTTCCTCTCAATGTATCTCTAAAGGCACATGATGCCCATTACAATTCAATAAACTTTCCCAAGACTTTATAACAAGGGATTGCTAAATAAAGGCATGTGATATTAGAAAGAGATGGCAATATATTCAGTGCTTTCAGCTGAATGCTCTTTTTATGACCTCATTCATCCATTGTCTTCAGTATTGGCAAAGGAACCACGAGGAAGATTACAAAAAGTTATCTTTTCCAAACATTTTATCTGGCTTTCTAAACAAACAGAAGCTATCATTTTTATGTTCTGTTGGAGCCTGTTTCAGCAAAGATTTCAGTAATTCACATGTTTAAAGAACTATTATTAGTACCAGTACATTCACTTTTACTTTTTTCACATAAATAGTATTTGTAATATCAACTGCTACATTTTATAGTATAAACTCATTTAAATGAAAGTTTCCAATCATGAGTACAACTGAGTCAATTTTACACTACACAATCAGAACTGCAAGAAAATTTGTGTCCATGCCAGTGAGAATTCCCATACTTCAAGAATTTCAGGCATGTTAAAACTTCCTCTCAATGGGTAATGCTAAAGCCAAGAGGTGGGGGAGGGAGGGAAGGAGGATATGAAGAATTCAAATAAAATCTCAGAGATGGCAGATTGAGAACCATAGAAATAATACCATAGAAATAATATGTGCAAAATTACATCCATTTATGAACTGCAGCCCTAACTACACGTGTGTGAAAGGTAATATGACTACCTTTCTTTCAAGAAGCACATTTCTCTACCTGCAACAGATTGGTTCCAAAATTAATGTTATTGTTTTAATAAAAACAAACACTTTTGAAACAATAATATGGGAAAGGTGAATGATTAACATGTTGAGTATTGTTGATGGCAAAGATAATGTTCCGGCAAGTACTCATTATTATACTAACTATTCTCAAAGTAAACACTGACTATCCATCATATTTAAAGCTATTTGCCTTAAGTGTCTGGAATGGTGAGAATTGATAGCAAGGTATCTGGAAGGCCTTAGATGACATAG